TGTTGTTGTCGTTGTCGTCATTGTTGTCGTTTTGGCCGCTAATGCAATGTCCTTGCAATTGCTGTTATTGTTGGGCTGTTGTTGTTGCTGCTGCGTAGCCATTGCCGTTGTTGCTGACGTTGTCGTTGTTGATGTTGCTGCAGTTGCTCTCGTTAGAATTTGCTTCTTTTCTCATTTTATGTATTTGCTCTCTTGTACTGATTTTCTTTTCTTTTTTTAAGTATCTTTTTGTTGTTGTATTAATTCACTTGACTAATTTACAATGTGTGTGTGTTCTTGTTCTTGTTCATAATTACGTACAACTTCTTCTGCGTTTTTGATTGGATTTTATTCATCAATATTTGTTTATATTATTGTTATTATGATCCTCAGATAATCAATTGAGATTATTGTGGACTTTTGTTGAAGTTTTGCAAAATGAATTAATTTTACTTAATTTCTTATGCAGTTTCGCAACATTCATATTTTTTCTTTTTCTTTTTGGTTATTATTATTGATTCATTTAATCCCAGGGCATTGTGAGCACCCGCTTCGTTTTTGCAAGAAGGTCGTTATCGTACTACGAACATGGGTGCACCACCGCATTGTAGCTCGCCAATATAGGACCATGTGCTCCCGCGAAGGGGGTACTCACAACGTCTGGTGTACTAGCTCCATCGGTGTGCGATGTTGAATCGGCATTACTTCTTCCTTCACCATTTGCTGAACCTAATTCTGGTGGTTTGGTGGTGTCCCGTTCGTCAATCACTAAATCTATTGGCATTTTACCCTTTAAACATGAGATATATCGATGACAGAAATTATCGCATAGTTCATGCACCTGCAACGAGAGACCCGCAAAAAGTGAGTGAGAGAGAGAAAGAGATTGTTGTGTGAGTGAAAGGGTGCGATGCCAAAACGAAAATCAACATATATATATTTATAAGGAAATTTATGGTACAATAATAGATATTTAGGCATATAATAGTGCAGATATATGTATATATAAATAAAGGATATGCATAAATATAATACTTAATCTAATCAGACATCTGGCAATACGTTTTCATATTCCACAATCGGGAGTTCATTAGGCATTCAGTTAGTTTATGAACCATTCAACTTGAGCAACAGAGACAGCTGCAAACACTTAGCGCCATTGCATTCTTTCAGCCAACGGCAACAACAATATGGCTAAAACCTGCTTTTTCTCCCGCTGCAAATGGCATGCAAATTGCTTTTTATGCGTTATCCAAGGCCCGGCTCTGGACTCGGGCCACGCAAATGGTTGATGATGGCACTCAAAAATGGCGTAGACAACGTCAGCAACAGCCACCGCTAAGCTTAGAAGGTGTACGCGCTTGCAGGCGATAAAAATGCGAGTCCGACCCGGCCACATAAATATGCATAGAGAGCTGGCTGGCTCGCTGGCTGGCTGCCTGGCTGCCTGGCCAAAAGCATTCGAGCCAGAAAGGAAGTGCTGGCTGGTCAGCCAAGTTTAGCCGCAGGGCACACTTTTAAGCAAGCAGCACGTGCAACACACAGACCATTGGCTGGCGTCAGCAGCAACAGCAACAGCAACATCAACAGCAGCAGCAGCAGCAGCAACAGCAAACGGCCAACAAAATGCGTTTTTAAACCAAGCTGTTGTTGTTGTCTGTAGCCAAAAACTGTGTGTAAGCTCGTGTGTGAGAGTGTGTGTGCTTGTGTGTGTGTATGTATGATAAAACAAATGCGATAAGGCCAAAGTGAGTGTGAGTCAGGCGGAGCGCATATGCAAATATGCAAAAAGGCTGCGCACCAAAGAGGAATGCAGCCGCCGACACGGCTAAAAAGAAATTAATTGCGCTGGGCTCGAGCAGACACAGAGAAGCAGCAACAACAGCAGCAGCAGCAACAACACCAACAATAACAACAACCAACAGGGTGCTCCATTTAAACGGGCAGGCATTTAATTTACGAAAAAGTGCGCGTTGCTTATGCAAATTGCTTGTTGCTGTGTTCTTGCAACGCTGCTGCTGCTGTTGTTGTTGCTGTTGTTGTTGCTGCTGTTGCTGCTGCTGCGTCTCTCGTTTTGTGTTTTCTTCTCTTTTTTTTAGGCATACGAAAGCTGTAACAGTTGCTGGCGGGCGGGCTGGCCGACTGGCTGGCTATTAACTTGTTGCCCATTGCCGAAACTTGCCAAACTTGTTTCCAGGCTGCTGCTGCTGCTGCTGCTGCTGCTGCTGCTGCTGCTGTGGACGTCATTGCCGATGCTGCTGCTGGCTGTGTTCAATGTTATTGTCACCAAAAATATGACGATGATAAAAACTGGCAGCAGCAACTGGTTTATGACAGGACTCAAATTTGTCTTTACTGCTGCCTGATAACAGTAACAGCAGCAACAGCAACAGCAACAGCAACTGCAGCAACAACAACATGTTGCTGCTGCATATGTGTATAGCTGTCAAAGTTGCCATAACAATGCACATAAAGTGCACAATTAGCACGCCAGCAACATGTTGCCAGCGCACAGCAACAACAGCCGCTGCAGCAGCAGCAGCAGAACACAGCAACAACAAGGCATAAATACTTACTAAATTGATATGTTTATGCGGCTTTATGCTCAGTTGCTCAGTTGCTCAGTTGCCAGTCTCTGGCTCGGCCCTTTGTGGCATGTTGTTGCTGTTGC